AGGAAGGACAACTTATAAATAAAGAAATAAGCCATCCAAAGGCATATGCAGATGAATATTAAATTTCCACTTTGATGTCACAGCATAGTGAGCGAGTGTGTGTGTGTGTGTGTGTGTGTGTGTGTGTGTGTGTGTGGGTGGCGGGACAGAGTCCGGCCAGCCGATCTGTGGGAACGGTCTGGTGGAGCCGGGTGAGGAGTGTGATTGCGGCTACAGCGATCAGTGTAAAGACGAGTGCTGCTACGACGCCAATCAACCAGACAACAAGAAATGCAAACTCAAGCCCAACAAAGTCTGCAGGTACAAAGCTCATGTTTCTCCATCGTGATTTCTATTGGATTGATATTTAGTTTCAGGTGTTGATCTGATGCTCATGAATGACGTGATCCGTGTGGTGTGCAGTCCGAGTCAGGGTCCCTGCTGCACGGGTGAGTGCTCCTACAAGAGCCGTAATGAGAAGTGTCGTGAGGAGTCGGAGTGTGCTCATCAGGGCATGTGTAACGGCGCCTCGGCCCAGTGTCCCACCTCAGAGCCCAAAGCCAACTTCACCGCCTGCCACGGGGACACGCAGGTCTGCCTGAACGGGGTGAGTGATCTTCACGTTAGGGCTGTCAGAATGGCTGAAAAACTAAATTCGAATTTTGTACTTAAATATTATCAAAATTCGAATTATATTCAAATTTTAAATGTATAATTTCAGTTATGGTGAAGAATAGCTTTTGGCTTCTCTCCTGAGGCCACAAGAGGGCGTATCGAGCAAAATATTACTAATGCACGTTTATTCAAAGCATAAGATAACATGACTATCTGTGAAAAAAGTGCATAATGTTTAAAATAATGTTTATAAACCAATTATAATTAATTAAGTTGCTTAAACAACTATAAACAAAACAGCATCATGTATGTATGCATAGTTTAATACAAAGGGCCGAAAGTCAATCACACAGAGTACATTTTTCATTTAAAAACATGAGATGCAGTGGGATGGGAAAAAACCTGCCATAAAGTCTCGAGATATGTTTTTTTCAAAGTTCATCATGTATGTATGCATAGTTTAACAAAGGACTGAAAATCAATCACACAGAGTACATTTTTCATTTAAAAACATGAGATGCAGTGGGATGGGAAAAAACCTGCCATAAAGTCTCGAGATATGTTTTTTTCAAAGTTGAACTTTCATTAATTTTACATGGCTTTCTAAACATGCGGCTCCTTTGTGCGAGACGCGAGTGCAACAGTAATAGATGTCCCTCTAGAAAATGCGCGAAATATGCGTTCTGTGTGAACGGCTTGGTTTCAAACAACGCAGCAGCGCCGCATCTAGTGGCTTCAACTGGATAGACTTACAAAAACATTATAATGCAACGACACTTACATCGTCATCACATCTCGTGTGCCACTGATAAGGCTGTCTGACGCACACCTACAATTCGAATGCAACGTTTTTGCATTCGAATGTGGATTTTTATTTTAAATTCGAATTTTTTTTTCACAGCCCTACTTCACATGCGTGTGTGTGTGGGTGTGTGTGTGTCAGTGACGGAGCAGCCGTCTCACTCCTGCTCCCTCTGTTTCAGGGCTGCTCCGGCTCCATCTGTGAGAAGTACGGGCTGGAGGTCTGCACCTGCGCCAGCGTGGATGGCAAAGACGAGACCGAGCTCTGCCACGTGTGCTGCATGGAGAAGAGTCAGTACAGACCCCTGCTGCAGCCGCTTCACACAGTGACACGCACAGATTCTGATATTTCACGAAAATTTATATGCACAGCAACACTTCAAGCAGGGTTTCTGCAGGTCTTAAAAAGTCCACAAATTAAGGCCCTAAAAGTTTTTAAATCCGAGCAGAAAGTCTTAAAATCATAAAGTCATGGCAATAAATGTTGCATGTACTGCAAAAAATGTACATCTTTCTCAGTATTTTTATCTTGTTTTCCAGTACAAATGTCTAAACATCCTTAAATCAAGATTTACTGGAGATACAAAAATACAAAATTAACATATGAAGTCTTGTTTTCTGAGCAAAATGAAGTGAGTTTGTGATTAAAACAAGAACAAATAACAAAAAGTGGGGAATGAAAACTTGTTTCTCTTTTAAATTAAGTCGATTTTTCTGAGCCCATTGTTTATTATCATATGCATCTAGACATTTGCAATGGAAAACAAGACTAAAATACTGAGGAAGAACATCACATTTTGCAGTGTGATCAGAAGTACAGTAAAACCTATTTTAATGTAGAGACAGCAAAACACTGGTCACGAATTAGAAGCATAAAACGAGGATTTGTAGAGAAAAATGTGGGAGGAGACTGGTTTTCCTTTGCTAAAGTAAAGCATTGCTTCTTTCTCTCCTGTAAACAAACGTCGGTTCTCGCAAGACTACCATATTCTCACCAGACCTTACGCTACATCCTAGTTCACCCCCCGGAGCCATGCGAGGCACTTTTTATGATGAATGGATGCGCTTTTTGGACTTCTTTTGGACTGTTGAACAGAAACATCCGCCCACTGCCATAATAAAGCTTGGAAGAGCCAGGACAATTTTTAATATAACTCTGATTGGATTCGTCTGAAAGAAGAAAGTCATGCACACCTAGAATGGCTTGAGGGTGAGGAAATGATGGGGTAAATTTCATTTTTGGGTGAACTAACCCTTTAATGAATGAAAAAACAATTGTGATTTGGTTGGACGTTGTATTTTCAAACATTGAAGTGGTGCTAAAACAACTGATTAAGAAAACATAATGACATATTGTTCCCTTTAATTTATTCCTTTTAAATTTCTTTCTTAAAGGTCTTAAACTCTTAAATTTAACAAAACTTGCCAAATTCCTGTTCAAAACACAGCTAATAATTCTAGATAGCATATTACTGTAATTGCTTTCATTTCTTTTTTCTCACGGTAGCTTAATTTCCATCAACAAGTCAAGATTCAGAACACTTTAACACAACACAATTTAATTATCAATTATAATGACTAATAATAATATAGGATTATAATAATCAGAACCAAATGTACACGTCAGATTAATAAAGATCATGCTGCCAAATTCAAATTCCTGTATTATCCGTAAATATGAAAGCACTGATTTTTAATCAAGTTCATTTTTGTTTTGGATGTATTCTGCATACACCAGAATATTTGGAGAATAATATGCACTGTAACTAGCCTTTTTTCTGTGCAGTAGCTAAATGAAACACAAGATGGCGCCAGTTGCATTTGTATGAAACAAGATTGTTTTATCAGTGACTATATCTGATTACTAAAGGCTGCGACTGACCAATCAGAACCACATATAGAGAGCTGTGTAATAAACACCACTTAGCTAATTAAATTACCGTGCTTAAATTAAAGATGGTTATTACTCCCCTGCTCAACACACTTCATTATTTTCAATCAGAAAATGCTCTCACATGAAATGCAAATCTACTTTGCATATTCACTTGTCTTTAAATCATGATTTATATGTGGATTTATTTAAATATTCATTTAGATTTCATATTTTTAATATCAGTTGGTGTTTAAAAATAACTAAAACATCATTAAAAACAATAGCGAAGTTTATCTTTCAATGGAGTTCGCTATGATAATTCAGGTTTTATCAATTATCAGAAGCTGATAGCGTCACATGTCTGATCCCAGCAGCAGCACGTCTGGAAACATGTAATTATGCGATAAACACTACCGTGTCGTGTCCACAGTGTTTTTTTTTTTTTTTAATTCTTTACACTGATTGTGTGTAATTCGGTCACTTCTGACATTTCACTCAGCCTCTGAAGAGATGCGTATATAGTCTCTCTCTCTCTCTCTCTCTCGTGTGTGTGTTCTGCAGTGAACCCCAGCACCTGCAGCAGTACGGGCTCGGAACGTCTCGCTCGCTTCTTCAATAAGAAGGTCACCACTCTTCAGGCCGGCTCGCCCTGCAATGACTTCAAGGGCTACTGCGATGTCTTCATGAAGTGTCGTCTGGTGGACGCCGATGGTCCTCTGGCGCGCCTGAAGAAGGCCATCTTCAACCCGGAGCTGTACGAGAACATTGCCGAATGGATCGTGGTAAGTGTCCCATCTCAGATCGTCAGGGAATGTGTGTGCTGAATCTGTGTGTTTGTTTCGCTGTATGTGTGCTGAATCTGTGTGTGTTTGTCTCTCTGCGTGTGTGCTGAATCTGTGTGTTTGTCTCTCTGCGTTTGTGCTGAATCTGTGTTTGTTTCTCTGCGTGTGTGCTGAATCTGTGTGTTTGTCTCTGCGCGTGTGCTGAATCTGTGTGTTTGTCTCTGCGCGTGTGCTGAATCTGTGTGTTTGTCTCTCTGCG